TGTAGCCCTGGGGAGAGGAGGGGAGGGAGGATGGGGCCAGCAGAACTCACTGAGCTTCCTCCAGTCCTTCCACAAGGGGATCCCCCCTTGGGTTGAGCATGAGGAGCAAAGAGACCTCAGGAGCAAAGACCAGCACCTGCCTGGGTCTGTCAGGTGTTATTTTTTTCTTCTTATTTGGGCCAGATCCTCCAATCATTTTTAATTGGATTACTCATCCTCCAGCAGATAGCCTTCTTCAAAATTTGCAGAGATGCTGCACAGAAACTTGAATTTTGTTATGTTTCATGGAAAGAGAAGTGTCCTGCGATGCCAAAGGGGTAACTGGGGCAGTGAGGGAAGTACAGGAATCTCTGTGCTGCTGGAACCTGCTCGTGGCCATCCCCAGCCTTGCTGTGCATTTATCCAGGCTGCTTTTATCCTGTTTGGCTCCTGGCATGGAGTGGATCCAAGAGCTGGATATCCTGGATATCAGTGCTGCCTTCTGTTGTCACACAGGGCCAGTGGTCCCGGAGCTTCCCTGGTTCCTCCAGCACGTTTTGGATGCTTGCTGTGACTGAGGAACCTCTGAAGAGCTCCTGAGGCCTCTGGGGAAGGCTCTGAGGCTCTGAACTGCTTCACAGGGCTGGGACTCATCCCAGGGTGAGGGAGGAAAGCTGGAAGGGATCTTTTCCCAGTCCCCATGGCGATGCTTCCCAGGATCAGCTCCTGTTGGAATGGCCAGAGGCACACAGATGAGGGGAAGATGGGAGGAAAAAGGAAACAGACTTGGGATGGGCATTAACTCCTGGCTGGGACAAAAGTGTCTGCAGGTGAAGGGGGGCGGGTACCTGGTGTGTGAGAGTTTGGGGTGAGGGGGTTTGGTGCCTCCTCAGGAGAGCTGGAAACCGGGACTGGGGTCCCGTGGTCCCTTCCCAAGTGGCCAGAGGCTCTTTGGTCATCCTGTGTGGTTGCTGGGGCAAGGGAGCAGCTGCAGCTGCAGCTCCAGGGTGTGAGGAGAGCCCTCTGCTGCCCCTGGGCACTGGGCAGGGTCCTGTCACTGCTGGGAGGTGTCACAGCCCCCAGGACAGCCAGGGACCGTGTCCTGGGGGCTGCGTGCCTGGAGGGGCCTGGCAGCCGTGCAGCTCCTGTGCTGAGACCCAGCAGCCATGCAGCTCCTGCACTGGGACCCAGCAGCCATGCAGCTCCTGTACTGGGACCCAGCAGCCATGCAGCTCCTGCCCCTGTGCTAGGACCCAGCAGCCATGCAGCTCCTGTGCTGGGACCTAGCAGCCGTGCAGCTCCTGTGCTGGGACCTAGCAGCCATGCAGCTCCTGTGCTAGGACCCAGCAGCCATGCAGCTCCTGTGCTGGGACCTAGCAGCCATGCAGCTCCTGCACTGGGACCCAGCAGCCATGCAGCTCCTGCACTGGGACCCAGCAGCCGTGCAGCTCCTGCCCCTGCACTGGGACCCAGCAGCTGTGCAGCTCCTGCCCCTGTGCTGGGACCCAGCAGCCATTCAGCTCCTGTGCTGGGACCCAGCAGCCGTGCAGCTCCTGCACTGGGACCCAGCAGCCATGCAGCTGTGCTGGGTGTGGGGCTGGTGCTTGCAGGTGTCAGGGGTGGGGATGTCCCAGGTCCTGAGGTGGTGGCACAGGCTGCGCCTCCCTCGTGCCAGGCGTGCAGAGGAGCGCTGTGTTCTGAGCAGGACGTGCCAGGTTAAGTCACCTCCCCTCGGTGATCCTGGGAGCGTGGCTGGGACAGCCCTGGGACATCCCTGGGACATCCCTGGGACAGCCCTGGGACAGCCCTGGGACATCCCTGGGACATCCCTGGGACAGCCCTGGGACATCCCTGGGACAGCCCTGGGACAGCCCTGGGACATCCCTGGGACATCCCTGGGACAGTCCTGGGACATCCCTGGGACAGCCCTGGGCCAGCCCTGGGCCAGCCGGTGCCGAGCCCAGCCGTTCCCATGGAGAGCCTTTCTCCATGGAGAGCTGGAACTCGGGTCTGTGTGGTGCTCCAGGCCACAGGAGGCCACAAGGGACAGGAATTGCTTTGGATTTGTCCTCTGCTGTCTCGTTCTCCGTGGGGACAGGAATTGCTTTGGATTTGTCCTCTGCTGTCTCGTTCTCCGTGGGGACAGGAATTGCTTTGGATTTGTCCTCTGCTGTCTCGTTCTCCGTGAGGAGTGTTTGAATGATTTCCTGTGAGGGAACTGCACCCGGTGTGTCCCTGTGCTCTGCAGTGACCTCGGGAGCGCCGGTGACAGCTGGGACAGGGCAAGGCTGGCTCAGAGAGGGGGACAGGGCTGGGTCAGGGTCACCCTGAGATCACACCTTGGCCCTAAGCTCCAGCATAACTCAGATCCCCTTGGGATGCAGTTCTGGGTTAGGAGCCTGTGAGCAGCTGGTTCCACGCTCGAGCTGATGCTCGTGGAGCAGGAGAGGAAACGGGTGCAGCTTCTTGGCAGGTCCACCAGGACTTCAGACCTGGCTGTGAGGTGTGAAGCTCCCCTGGAAGGACCTGGTGCCACCATCCCAGGACAAACACAGCTCGAGGAATGTCTCCAGCTCTTGGATCCTCGCAGAGACAGATGGAGGCAGAGCCCTGCTCTGCTCAGCCGAGCCCTGCGAGCACCTCCCTCCGTGGGAAGCAGTAGGATAATGATTTATTCCCAAAAGTCCCTTTTCCAGCCCTGCAGCAGTGACTGTTCCCACTGGCTGGGTGGGAATATCCCCCTGCTCTCAAACACATCCAGGCATTCCCGCATTCCCACTGGTGTCCCAGGTCAGCTGGGTCCCAGGGAGGTTCCCAGCCACGCTCCGCTCGTAGCCCCTGCGCTGCCTGTGGGGATGCACAAGGTGACAGTGACATCTGGCCGTGGTGAGCAGCCCTGGTGGCCCCCCAGGCCTCTCCTCACCCCTGTCCTGCAGTGGCCTGGTGGCTGTAGCTCCTGGTCAGGGTTTAGTGCCAGTGGGCAGTGCTGGAGCTGCATGTGCAGAGCAGCAGCTCCTCCAGCCCCTGGCACTGTCAGTGGCTCCACCTTAGGGCTGTGGGATCCCTCTCCATCCCTTCCAGCTGGGCTCTGCCCATGTGCTTGGCCAGCTCTGCCAAGGGATCCGAGAATCAGAGTCCTGAGCTGGGAGAGACCCACAGGGATCATCAGATCCCCCCCTGGCCTGCCCAGACCCCCCAGCAATCCCACCCTGGGCATCCCTGGGAGCTCCTGGAGCTGCGGCAGCCTCGGGGCCGTGCCCATTCCCTGGGGAGCCTGGGCAGTGCCAGCACCCTCTGGATGAGGAACCTTTCCCAAAATCCAACCCAATCCTGGCCCAGCTCCAGCATTCCCTGGTCCTGTCCCTGGGCAGCAGAGGGAAGAGATGAGAGCTGCTGTGCTGCCCCTCGGGAGGAGCTGATCCTTTGGCTCGCTGGGGCAGGCTGGTGCTGCCAGAGCTGTCCCCTCCCAGCACACGGACAGCAGGAGGCATTGTGTGCTTGAGGAGGATTTCCACATCCTGGGTGTGTCCTGGTCCCATCACCATGGACGAGGACACAGCACCGCTGGGACTCACGGCTGCTGGGGCTGCCACCTGTGAGAGGCTTTGCAGAGCTCCCAGGTGCAGGTTTGGGTGTTTCCATCCCAGTGGAGGGATGGTTGGATGTTTCCATCCCCATGGATGGAGATTTGGATATTTCCATCCCCATGGAGAGATGTTTGGGTGTTTCCATCTCCAGGATGGAGATTTGACTGTTTCCATCCCAGTGGAGGGAAGTTTGTTTGTTTCCATCCCCATGGATGGAGATTTGGATATTTCCATCCCCATGGATGGAGATTTGGATGTTTCCATCCCCATGGATGGAGATTTGGATGTTTCCATCCCCATGGATGGAGATTTGGATGTTTCCATCCCCAGGATGGAGATTTGGATGTTTCCATTCCCATGGATGGAGATTTGGATGTTTCCATCCCCATGGATGGAGATCTGGATGTTTCCATCCCAGTGGAGGGAAGTTTGGGTGTTTCCATCCCCAGGATGGAGAGTTGGATATTTCCATCCCCATGGAGAGATGTTTGGGTGTTTCCATCCCCAGGATGGATGGTTGGCTGTTTCCATCTCCAGGATGGAGATTTGGATGTTTCCATCCCCAGGATGGAGATTTGGGTGGTTCCATCCCCAGGATGGAGATTTGGGTGGTTCCATCCCCAGGATGGAGATTTGGGTGGTTCCATCCCCAGGATGGAGATTTGGATATTTCCATCCCCATGGCTGGAGATTTGGGTGTTTCCATCCCCAGGATGGAGATCTGGATGTTTCCATTCCCATGGATGGAGATCTGGATGTTTCCATCCCAGTGGAGGGAAGTTTGGGTGTTTCCATCCCCAAGGATGGAGATGGTTGGATGTTTCCATCCCCAGGATTGTGCACAGCTGTGCCTGCTCCTTGCAGGGAGGGAGCATCAGGTCACTTCTCTTTCCATCATACTGAGAATGAACTGGACTTTTGTTCAAGCCCAGGAAGAACATTTTGGGTGAAAAGTGAGGCAAAAAGAAATGAAAATGTGATTCCCCCTTAGCTGGCTCCTCACCCTGCGTTTGGCCTGGTGGAGGGGGACAAATTCTGGGGTGGCTTACAGGCAGGTGACATTCACCTCTGTGCTGGAGATCGGTGGTGACCCCAGGCCAGTCTGGGGGTCCCTGGGCAGCAGAAAGCTGCTGTGGGCAGTGGATGCAGCAGCCTCTGGTCACCCTGGAGCTGTGTTTGAACCCCTGGCAGGCGGGAGCCGTGCCCCACGGCGTTCCCAGTGCTGCTGGCCAGTGCAGAGTGGGCACCAGTATCTCATCCAAACACCTGCCTGGGGCTCCTTATCTCCTGGCTGGGTGGGAGCAGAGCTCTGCCCCGCCCTGCTGCCTCTCCTCGGAGCTTTGTGAGCAGCTCAGCTGGGTTCAGCTGTTCCATCCCTGCGGAGTGCCAGGGGAGGGGGCAGCCGGGGGTGCTGACTGTGCCTTGTTCCTGCAGCCCCCACCCCGTGAAGCCCCTGAGCGCTGCCCAGGACGGCTCCAGCGACAGGAGGCAGCAGCACAGGGCCAGCCTGAGCTCGGCGCTGAGCAATGGCCTGGAGAGGCTGAAGATGGTGACCACGAGCAGCGTCCAGCCCGTGGCCCCGGCCCCGCAGCCCGACAAAAGCGAGCCCGAGTTAAAGGTAGGAGCCTGGCCCGAGCTGTGCTGGTGGCAGGGCCGGGGGCAGGCAGGGCCGGGGGCAGGCAGGGCCGGGGGCAGGCAGGCTCCTGCCATGTGTGGGTCCAGCCTCTGCTTGCTCTGCCTCCCTTCTCCCCTGAGCCCAGAGGCTCTGCCATCCTCACCCCATCCTTCTGCCACCACCACCTGCACTGCTTGGGGTGTTACTGAGCAGTGAATCCCTGCTTGTACAAACATGGGGTTGGGATGGAAGGGACCTCAAAGCCCATCCAGGGCCACCCTGCCATGGGCAGGGACAGCTCCCGCTATCCCTGGCTGCTCCCAGCCCCATCCAGCCTGGTCTCCACGAGGTGTGGGAGTTGTAGTACCTGACTGATGCTCTGAAGGGTTCCTCGTCCTGGCAGGGGGAAGGTCCTTCCTGGAGCTTTGCTGACCTGGATACTCCAAACCCTGCTGTGCTGGGGCCAGCAGAGCACCTGTGATTCCTCTGGGGACGCACAGGCTGTTCTGAGGGTGACCCCTCCATCCCTTTGTCCACTCCCACTCCGTTTGCCTCCCCAGTGTCACATGGAAAACGCTGCTGGGGTTCACCTGAGCGAAGGACAGGCACAGCCCTGCTGCTCTCAGGATCCCTGTGGGCGCTGCAGGGAGTTCAGCTGTGGCTCTGTGAGCACACGAGGTCTCTGTGGGCCCCCCGTGCTGCTCCTGCCTCTCCAGTTTGGAATGACAGCCACGGAAAGCAGGAGTGCTCTGGCTGTTGCTGCATCCCACAGATGTTCCCAGGAGCTTTTCATTCCAGTCCCTGAATGTCCCTCTTGGTTCCCAGCAGGAGCCTGCCCAGCTGGACCAGTCAGCCAAGTATTACCACCTGACCCACGACGAGCTGATCCAGCTGCTGCTGCAGAAGGAGGGCGAGCTGAGCAAGAAGGAGGAGCACATCCACGAACTGGAGAACTACATCGACCAGCTGCTGGTGCGCATCATGGAGCAGTCCCCCACCCTGCTGCAGATCCCTCTGGGCGGGGGCCAGGCCCCGTGAGGCTGCCAGGGCAGCAGTAGCCAGCAGAGCTCTGCCAGTAGCCACGCTGCCAGCACCCCGCACCCCCTCCTCCTGCCCGAGGCCGGCAGGGGCTCCTGTTCCCAGAGTCAGCAGGAAGGGTCACCTGCTCCTTCCCAGGCCAAGCTCCCTCAGCCCGGCTCCAGGGAGCTGTGGGGTGGTGGATGGGCTGGCAGCACCCTGTGGGGAGGAGCAGAGCCCTGGAGCCTCCCTGGTTCCCATCACTGCCCAAGTGCCACCCCCCTGCCACAGCTTTAAGTGACCCATGGACACCTGAGGGCTGGAAACATCTCCCTGTGAGTGCATCCTGCTGCTGCTCCCCTGCCCACACTCCTCCTCTCTCCCCTGGGCTGGTGTCCCCTGACCCGCTGGGTGGCACTGGGGACACTGGGACCAGTGAGGCTCCCCCAGCCCGCTCCTGACCAGAGCTGTGGGACACCCAGGGAAGGGAGAAGAGCCGGCTCCAGTCTGTGCCACTCCCTGAGCCCAGGGAGAGCTGCACAGGGGCAGCACCGAGGGCTGGGGGTGCTGGCAGAGCCTGCTGGGCCACGTTGGCACTGTCCCAGCACCAGTGACCCCACTGCACTGGGAATATGGGAAAGGGAAAGTGGGATGGTGCCCCAGGAGTGCTGCAGGAGATCCTCTGCATCCCCCACCCAGCACGGGGCTGGTGTGCCCTGGAGGGATGAAGAATGCAGAATCCAAGCTGGATTTCCACTCAGTATTCCCAGGAATGGCTGCCCTGCCCTGGAGGGATGAGGAATGCAGAATCCAAGCTGGATTTCCACTCAGTATTCCCAGGAATGGCTGCCCTGCCCTGCCTCTGCCTGGGCTGTCCCAGCTCAGCAGGAAAAGGGCCCTGCAGCGAGGTCTGGGGGTCTGACCCCTCTGCAGGGCCCCTGCGGGCTCAGGCACCCCAAACACTCCTGGCACAGCCCACAATTCCCAAACCCAGAGCCCAGCCTGCTCCCCTGATCCCATCCACGCTGGATCAGCTCTCCAGGCCTGGCCTCAGGGGCAGCTCTGAGCCCTGAGTGAGCACCCAAAGGGCTCAGATTTATCTGGCTGAGCGACTGGTGTGGGGGTACTGTGCCAGGGGATGGGAGGGATGTTGTTCCCTCCCTCCTCCTGCCAGGACTTTGGCTGGAGACGGTGCCCGTGCAGGCAGAGGGGCCATTGGAGTGGGATTTCAACATGAAAGGCACCTTCTCCCTCTTCTCTGTCTCCCACAGTCACTGGGTTCTTGTAAAACCTCCCTGCTCTGCTCTTCACTTGCTCCAGTACAGGCCATGACTTTGAAGAATGGTGCCTTTTGCCATAGGCCAGTAGCAGTTTCCTACCCCAAAAAGGCTCTGAAATGCAATTCCCAGTCCCACACACCCTGCCTGGGGCAGGTTCCTCCCGTTTTCCTTCTCAGCCAAGAAAAGGGAGTTAACTGTTCCCCACGGGCTGTGCAGGTGCCCTGGGTCCCTGCAGGAGCTCTGCACAGCACCTCAGGGCAAGGACAGAGATCAGGAGCTGGCAGGGCAGGGCAGGCTGAGTGTTCCTGGATAAAATACAGCTGGAGACAGGCAGTGTTGGGGCAGGAGAAAAGGAGCTCTGCTCCTGTCCTCTTGGACCCTGCAGGAGGAGGAAGAGGAGGAGGAGGATTTGCTCCCTTGGAGAGCACCAGCCACCAACCTCCCTCTCCTTCCTGCCTCTCCCTGCTGGGAAATCCCTGAGGGTTTGCACTGCTCCAGCTGCTGCTCCCGTGTTTCTGTTCCCTGTGGTGCTGGGGTGGGCTGGGAGTGCCCAAGGGAAGAGTTTCTCCCGTTTCAGGAGGTGCCAGGACATTCCGTGCCCTGCCTGCAGCCCAGCCCCTCTCTGGGTGCCCCCCGTGTCCCTGCGAGCTGCAGGAGCTCGGGAGGAGCTGTGGGAACGGGAATGGGTGCTGGGAAAAGGGAGAGAGGAATTCCTCAGGAGGGCATTAACGGGAGAGCTGCAGAGCCAACATCTCCCAGGGAGCTGGGGCTGCTCACAGACGCTGTGTGGGGCAGGGATGGGTGTCGGTGCTCCCCACACAAGTGCCAATGTTTCTGTGGATCCCAGGCACCTCCTTCCCAGCCATCCCTCCTCCCCCAGCGTGTCTCACCTCCCCCCTCAGCCCCCTCTGCCTTAGTCAGCTCTGCCTTGTTTTGCTCCAAAAGCCTGAATGTTTTGCACTTGAATATAAAAAGTTACCCTCAGAGCTCAGCGGGTTGTACCAGGTGTGCAGCCCTGCCAGCAATAGGTGCTTCCACATCTCCTGGTTTTAGCAATAGCTGTTCTGTTCCCTCGTCTCCTGTTCCCAGCAATTCCTGTTCCCTGCTTCCCTGCCTTCCCAGCAGTAGGTGCTTCCACATCTCCTGCTTCCAGCAATAGGTGCTTCCATATCTCCTGCCTTTCCAGGAATTCCTGTTCCCTCATCTCCTGCCTTTCCAGGAATTCCTGTTCCCTCATCTCCTGCCTTTCCAGGAATTCCTGTTCCCTCACCTCCTGCCTTCCCAGCAATGGGTGCTTCCATATCTCCTGCCTTTCCAGGAATTCTGTTCTGCTCCCTCATCTCCACCTTTCCAGCAATTCCTGTTCCCTCATCTCCTGCCTTTTCAGCAATGGGTGCTTCCATATCTCCCATTCCCAGCAATATCTGCTCCTTCCACCTCCTGGCTTTCCAGGAGTACCTGTTCCCTCTTCTCCCGCCTTTCCAACAATTCCTGTTCCCTCCCACCTTTCTAGCAATAGGTGCTTCCCTCACCTCCTGTTTCCAACCATACCTGTTCTATTCCTCACCTCCTGTTCCCATCTCCTGTTCCCATCTCCTGTTCCCATCATTCCTGTTCCCATCTCCTGTTTCCATCATTCCCTGTTCCCATCTCCTGTTCCCATCTCCTGTTCCCATCATTCCTGTTCCCATCTCCTGTTTCCATCATTCCCTGTTCCCATCTCCTGTTCCCATCTCCTGTTCCCATCATTCCTGTTCCCATCTCCTGTTTCCATCATTCCCTGTTCCCATCTCCTGTTCCCATCTCCTGTTCCCATCATTCCTGTTCCCATCTCCTGTTTCCATCATTCCCTGTTCCCATCTCCTGTTCCCATCTCCTGTTCCCATCATTCCTGTTCCCATCTCCTGTTTCCATCATTCCCTGTTCCCATCTCCTGTTCCCATCTCCTGTTCCCATCATTCCTGTTCCCATCTCCTGTTTCCATCATTCCCTGTTCCCATCTCCTGTTCCCATCTCCTGTTTCCATCTCCTGTTCCCATCATTCCTGTTCCCATCATTCCTGTTCCCATCTCCTGTTTCCATCATTCCTGTTCCCATCTCCTGTTTCCATCATTCCTGTTCCCATCTCCTGTTCCCATCTCCTGTTTCCATCATTCCTGTTCCCATCATTCCTTTTCCCATCTCCTGTTCCCATCTCCTGTTCCCATCTCCTGTTTCCATCATTCCTGTTCCCATCTCCTGTTTCCATCATTCCTGTTCCCATCTCCTGTTTCCATCATTCCCTGTTCCCATCTCCTGTTCCCATCTCCTGTTCCCATCATTCCTGTTCCCATCATTCCCTGTTCCCATCTCCTGTTCCCATCATTCCTGTTCCCATCTCCTGTTTCCATCATTCCTGTTCCCATCTCCTGTTTCCATCATTCCTGTTCCCATCTCCTGTTCCCATCTCCTGTTCCCATCTCCTGTTTCCATCAGTCCTGCCCCTCGTGTCCCCAGGATCCGTGTGTCCTGTCTCTCTGCGGGATCTGCGGCGGATCCGAGCGGGGCTGGATGTTCCGTGCGTGTCCCGGATTTCTGGGCAGCCCCGCGGTTCCTGCTGCCGTCTCTCAGTCTCTGCTCTCTCCTTTTCCCTCCCCGCTGTGCTGAGAGTTTGGGGTTCCCTGTCCCCGCTGTGCTGAGAGTTTGGGGTTCCCCGTCCCCGCAGTTTTTGGGCTGTGCAGAAGAGCTCACAGCAGCCCGGGGTGTTGCTGTTGAACCTCCACGTTCCAAGGGAATTGTTTTGGGGACCCAGAGCTCCTCAGGGAAGGAGGGGATGAGGAGGAGAATTGGGGGAACGTTCTCGAGTTGCCCATCTGGGATTTATGTCCGTGTTGAGTGAGTGAATCTCCCTGTTCAGTGATTTATTTGGGATCCCTGGGCAGGAGCATCCTGAGCTCTGTTCCTCTCTGCTGAGCCCAGCACATCCCAGAGGTTTTCTGGGCCAGCAGCAGCAGCAGCTTCCCCCTGTTCCGTTTGAAGAATTTCCCGTGGTTTCTCTTTGTGCCACTTTGTTTTCCCACGAGCCTGAGCAGGGTTCTGCCCTCGCTCTCAGCCCACAGCTGCCTTTCTGCTTCTCAAGAACTTCACCCAATGATTTCTTTTCCCCTTGTCTGGTCCTCCTGGCCACGCCTGGGCCAGAAGAACCACCAAGGTTTATCCTCAAACTGGAACAAACCCAAAGGGATGTGGATTCTCCGCTGGGACGTGGACTCAGCCTTGTCTGGGAAGGAACCGCCGTGTTTGGGGTTAAAAACCTGGAAAAACATCCCCAGGTGGGAGAAGCGTCAGGGTTTTCTGGAGTTGTTGGTTTCCCTGTTCTTCACGTCCGCAGGAAGTGGGTTCTGTGTGTCTCATGTTTTAAGAGTTGCGACTAATGTTTATAAAGAGCTTGTTATTTACGTTTTAAGCACTTTAAAAAAAAATAAAAGTTGTTCAAGCTGTTCCTAGACACTTCTGATTCATTGACAACAGCGTCTGTGCTGACGGCGCCTGGACACCGAGTGACATTTCTGTGCATTTGCTGCAGGAGGAGGAGGAGGAGGAGGAGGAGGAGGAGGAGGAAGGTGTCCAACTCCTCCAGCAGCTTTTCCACCTGCCTGACAGCTCCCGAGGGCTGAGCAGTGGGAATGCTGCGGGAACCTCGAGTTCCTCCCCAAATGCTGCTCCTGCCTCGGCTTTGGGGTTCAGGATTCTTCGGGGTTCCTTGTCCAGTGTCGTGCCCTGAGCTGGGGCTGGAGAGAGCTGGGGCTGGGCTGGGGGAAAAGGAAAAGGAAAAGGAGGGGGAGGTGCGGGAAGGTGCGGGAAGGTGCGGGAAGGGAAGGTGCGGGAAGGGAAGGGGCGGGAAGGTGCGGGAAGGTGCGGGAAGGGAAGGTGCGGGAAGGGAAGGGGCGGGAAGGTGCGGGAAGGTGCGGGAAGGGAAGGTGCGGGAAGGGAAGGGGCGGGAAGGTGCGGGAAGGTGCGGGAAGGGAAGGTGCGGGAAGGGAAGGGGCGGGAAGGTGCGGGAAGGTGCGGGAAGGGAAGGTGCGGGAAGGGAAGGGGCGGGAAGGTGCGGGAAGGTGCGGGAAGGGAAGGTGCGGGAAGGGAAGGGGCGGGAAGGTGCGGGAAGGTGCGGGAAGGGAAGGTGCGGGAAGGGAAGGGGCGGGAAGGTGCGGGAAGGTGCGGGAAGGGAAGGTGCGGGAAGGGAAGGGGCGGGAAGGTGCGGGAAGGTGCGGGAAGGGAAGGTGCGGGAAGGGAAGGGGCGGGAAGGTGCGGGAAGGTGCGGGAAGGGAAGGTGCGGGAAGGGAAGGGGCGGGAAGGTGCGGGAAGGTGCGGGAAGGGAAGGTGCGGGAAGGGAAGGGGCGGGAAGGTGCGGGAAGGTGCGGGAAGGGAAGGTGCGGGAAGGGAAGGGGCGGGAAGGTGCGGGAAGGTGCGGGAAGGGAAGGTGCGGGAAGGGAAGGGGCGGGAAGGTGCGGGAAGGTGCGGGAAGGGAAGGTGCGGGAAGGGAAGGGGCGGGAAGGTGCGGGAAGGTGCGGGAAGGGAAGGTGCGGGAAGGGAAGGGGCGGGAAGGTGCGGGAAGGTGCGGGAAGGGAAGGTGCGGGAAGGGAAGGGGCGGGAAGGTGCGGGAAGGTGCGGGAAGGGAAGGTGCGGGAAGGGAAGGGGCGGGAAGGTGCGGGAAGGTGCGGGAAGGGAAGGTGCGGGAAGGGAAGGGGCGGGAAGGTGCGGGAAGGTGCGGGAAGGGAAGGTGCGGGAAGGGAAGGGGCGGGAAGGTGCGGGAAGGTGCGGGAAGGGAAGGTGCGGGAAGGGAAGGGGCGGGAAGGTGCGGGAAGGTGCGGGAAGGGAAGGTGCGGGAAGGGAAGGGGCGGGAAGGTGCGGGAAGGTGCGGGAAGGGAAGGTGCGGGAAGGGAAGGGGCGGGAAGGTGCGGGAAGGTGCGGGAAGGGAAGGTGCGGGAAGGGAAGGGGCGGGAAGGTGCGGGAAGGTGCGGGAAGGGAAGGTGCGGGAAGGGAAGGGGCGGGAAGGTGCGGGAAGGTGCGGGAAGGGAAGGTGCGGGAAGGGAAGGGGCGGGAAGGTGCGGGAAGGTGCGGGAAGGGAAGGTGCGGGAAGGGAAGGGGCGGGAAGGTGCGGGAAGGTGCGGGAAGGGAAGGTGCGGGAAGGGAAGGGGCGGGAAGGTGCGGGAAGGTGCGGGAAGGGGCGGGAAGGGAAGGGAAGGGAAGGGAAGGGGAGCTGGCTCCATCGGTGCTCCCGATGTTTTTGCACTGATCCCAGCCCTGCTCCTGCAGCTCCCCTCCCCCATCCCAGCCCCTTTCACCACTCAGCCCTTTTCCCTCCCAGCTCCCCTTTCCCTCCCCATCCCAGCCTTTTCCTCCAGGAGGATGAATTCCCCTCAATGGCTCTGCTGCTCCCACCGAGGAGCTGCCTTCCCTCCGATCCCGGACATTTCTCACCCTCTTTGGGCTCTCGTTAACCCCTCTGGCTCCGAGGGAAATCTGTGGGTGCTGGCACCCCGGGAAACGGGATCCATCCCCGGGAGGGCAGCCCAGAGCGGCTGGGGCAGCCACTGGGAGCACTGGGAGCACTGGGAGCACTGGGCCAGCCACTGGGAGCACTGGGAGCACTGGGGAGAACTGGGGCAGCCACTGGGAGCACTGGGGAGAACTGGGGAGAACTGGGGAGAACTGGGAGCACTGGTGCAGCCACTGGGAGCACTGGGGAGAACTGGGGCAGCCACTGGGAGCACTGGGAGCACTGGGGAGCACTGGGCTCTGGAATTTGGGAAAAGAGCGGATTTTCACTCCCTTCCTCAGCTGGGCAGGGACAGAAAATAAAACAAAATACAACAAAAACCTCGTTTGGGGATAAGGGCAGGGAGAGATCAGTCACCAGCCACTGTCACGGGCAAACGGGACTGAGGAAATCACATTATTACCAAAAATCACTTGAATTTATTACCAAAAATCATTTTAATTTATTAACAAAAATCACTTGAATTTATTAACAAAAATCACTTGAATTTATTACCAAAAATCACTTGAATTTATTACCAAAAATCACTTGAATTTATTATGAAAAATCACTTTATTACCAAAAATCACTTGAATTTATTACCAAAAATCACTTGAATTTATTACCAAAAATCACTTTATTACCAATAAATCACTTTGAGTTTTGAAATCTAAAACCTTCTTCTGGGGTGTTCTATGGGGTCCCATCTCATTCTGGGGTGTTCTGTGGGGTCCCATCCTCCAGGATCTCCTCCCTGGAGCCCCCCCGGAGCCCCCCCACCCAAACCCCTCTTTTTGATCAGCTCACACCATGGCTGGGGGGTTGTTCCCCCCCCCAAAGAAAAGAAAATTGGAAAAAAGCCCCATTTTTGAGCGGGGAAGCGGCCCCCCCTCCTTCCCCAAAGCAGGGAAACACAAGTTGTCAGTCAGGATGGATCTGGTGGGATTGATATCAGCCAAAGAATTGATATTCTTTCTGGGATTTAACCAAAAAAGTGATAGTCTTATGTCACTCCAAATGTGGTTTGAGATAAACAGATTTTCCCCCTCTGTTGTTACCAAACATTTCGTGTGTCAACACCGGGGGCTGCAGCAGCTCCTGGCTCGGGCTGTGGGATGGGGGGTCCCTGGGGCAGGGATTTGGGGCAGAATCCTCATCCCCCTCATCCTCCCCCAGGGCAGATCCCTCATCCCCCTCATCCCCCTCATCCTCATCCAGGGCAGATCCCTCATCCTCACCCAGGGCAGATCCCTCATCCCCCTCATCCCCCTCATCCTCACCCAGGGCAGATCCCTCATTTTCATCCTCCCCCAGGGCAGATCCTGGAACCTTTGGGGAGGGGGAGAGGCCTCCCAGAGCTCCTGGCAGCGCTGCCTTTGGGTTTAGGGTTTTGTTTTTGTTTCCCCTCTGTGGGGAGGAGAGAACAGCTCTGGGTATGGGATGGGGATTGAGCTTCGGATTTAGGGTTTTGTTTTTGTTTTCCCTTCCCGGCTCTGGCTGTGGGGTGGGGATGGAGCTCCAGGGCTGTCGCTGGGGGCTCGGGGCAGCTCGGAGCCAGCGACCCCCGGGGATGGCAGGAGCAGGATGCGCTCCAGCTCCACCGGGAATTCCAGCAGCGCAGGGGAGCTGCTGCTGGGTTTTAGCAACATCTCCGAGGAAAAGCAATGAGAAATGATAAAATTCCATCTCCCTGCTCTTTCCTATTCCTCTTTTCACCCTTCAGGCACGACCAGAGCTCCTTTTCCATCCCAGCAGCAGAGCTGGGATTCACTGGGGTCGGTGCTGGATGAGCCCAAAATCAGAAACTGCTTCTGTGGGTGGGAAGAGAACGGGACACGATGGGCTCTGGGGCCACGGGGCAGAGCAGCAGCATTGCCACAGCAAAATGGGACATTCACACCTTCCCCTGGGGAGAAACAATCAGGGATTGGGGTTTTTCAGGTGTATTTTTTAATTCCTTTAGATGGAATCCTGCTCCTGAGCTTCTGTCACCCGCTGCCTTTGCTTCTCCTTCCCCGCTCCCCTCCCTGCTCCTCTCCCTCTGTTTGCTGTCCCTCTGCTCTTCCCCGGAGAATTGATCCTAATCCTCCAAACAATTTCGCCGGCATTTGAAGGTCCAGACTCTCTTATCCCACTAATCTGGGGGAGAGAATTCCGAGGATGGCTCGGTGTGCCCCGCGGAGCCCCAGCTCCGCACGACCTTGGCTTTATCTCCACAAATCCTTATCGCTGCCAGCTCCGCGTCCAGGATTGTGATCCAAAGGTCACTGCTGACCGTGGGGCTCCCACCGCAGCAGGAATCTGCAATTCCACAAGGAAACACAGCCATGCACTCGGTGAATTGGAATTGGGAAAGAACTCCGAGCTCATCCAGCCCAGCCATCCCCAGCCCTGCCAGGGCCAGCGCTGCCCCTGTCCCCGAGTGCCACATCCAGGGGCTTTGGAACCCCCAGGGATGGGAATTCCAAACCTCCCTGGGCACTTCCAGATTCCTTTCCATGTAGGAATATTCCCAAAATCCACCCTGAGCTGCCCTGAGGCCGTTCCCTCTCCTCCTGTCCCTGTTCCCTGGGAGCAGATCCCAAATCCCCCCCGGCTGTCCCCTCCTGCCAGGGACTTGTGCAGAGCCAGAAATTCCCCCTGAGCCTCCTTTGCTCCAGCCTGAGCCCCTTCCCAGCTCCCTCAGGAATTCTCCAGCCCCTTCCCAGCTCCCTCAGGAATTCTCCAGCCCCTTCCCTGGCCACGCTCCAGCCCTTCCATGTCCTCCTTATCACAGATATCGTCGGGATGAAATTAAAAAATATCTGGGGTAGTTTTTCAGAGGTTTTTGGGCTTTCACCTTTCTGTGCTTTATTATTTGCTCAGTCTATTACACG